AACAAATTTCGCGCATGGATAAATACAGTGAACACCGTGAATGGGACCTTGACCTCCACGAGGGAGTTATTTTTGGAAGTTAATTCGAACTTTTCTCTTTGCGCATTTTGTGAAGAATCCAGGCGTGAATGTATTTGTTGATTGTATGGGAACCCGACAACAGTCGGTAGATTCTATAACAGCATCGTTATTTGACATGTCGTCTGAAACTGAGGAACCGTGGATCCGAGACGCGTGAAACTGATAGCGTTTGAAGTGAGTGATCTTGCGACGGAGCACAGGTTCGTTACAAATGTCTGAAATGACGAATGTTTATGTGTGCTGTGAGTCATATCAGTAGGTTTGTAACACATGTGTCAGCAGGTCTATAGAATATGTGTATTTCAGACATTTATAACGAACCCATGTTGATCAGTGCAGTGTAACAGACGGTATTTCTGATAAATTGCATGAGCGTTAAAATTGTTTCCATTGCCGGCGTTGGTGATTTTAACCGATGTGCATTTTGTACGATATTGCAGACCTTGCCCTTGGTCTTATTTTCGTTGTAAAAAAAGTGTTTTTTTATTTTATTTTTTATTTTGCACATAAATTTACAATGACATTATCAAATCTCACAATGCCCAGCGATATTTCAGCAGTCGTCATGTTTATTTACATTGGATATTGTAGTTCCGGTCAGTGTTGTAATTAATACGCTAAGAATTGTGTCTCGTGCGGCATGGGAATTAAAGTCCCATCAACGACAAAGCTTTCAAAGAGGCTATATAGTGACAATGCCATGCAAATGTAAAAATTTTGCTGGTGAATAAGGTTACCATCTTTCGAATTAAATAAATACCTGTAGAATATGACCTATATACAATTTATTCGTCAATTAATAAAATGACATTTACTGAACATATTTCAATCTTTGTTATTCTTGATGTATATTTATCCAAAAAACTAGCTTCTGTCGTGATCGGACAATCGTGATGGAGATTTATAGCATAAATACATTATTTAGTGTCATACAATGTTGATGCATAAATATTTAGGAGAGAAACACAAACGAAATAAATACATAAACCTTCCTTATTTTGTTACAATTATGAAACTTGTTTTTCAAAAAGCTCTGAATTATCTTTTAGGCTAGGATGGGGATCTCAATATGTTGTCACGTTGTCCGTCACTCAGATGACGAAATGGATATTAACCTCGGACTTGGGAATCGAACCCGGCTAAATGAAATTTCGGTAGCCCGCTGATCAGTTAGTTTTGTACCATCAGTATAATAAATGCTGAGTGTCAGAGTAAAAATTCCCAAAATTCCTTTTTCTGATGTAAGAACATTTAAACACAGTTAATACAAATCGCTCTCTGAGTCATACACGTAGTTTTATAAAGGGACCAGTCGGTCTTGAAACGTTGCGGAACGTTTAATACGTATATTACCTGTGTTTAAAGTAAAACTTTGATATAATCTGCACAATAGTTTTAACTCATTATGAAGCGTAGCGTGACCTGATAGGTATCGTAAGGTGTCGCTATAAAATGTAATAAAAATACTGTAAAACCTCGATATACTGCCCCTCATTCCGTTTGCCACCTTGCGGACCGCCAACAAGTTTCAAAGTTCCATTTTCCCTTTTTTATCTTAGGAATTTCCTTACACATTGCCCCCGATTCGATATCAAAACCCTTTACAACGGCCCTTTGGATAAATCGTGCCAGTATAGCGAGATCCCATTCTACGTCTAATACTGGGTACCGTTTTTCTCTCTTTTTTTCTTGAATTCTAATCAGCGCTTACAGTTTATAATAGTTGTCTATGAGGAATTTCCTGTTGTAATTTTCTTTCGAATAGTTTCCAAACAAGAAACTTTCAAAACTGACGATTTGTATTTCGAAGTTCTTTAGTTCAAGATTGACAGTACAAAAAATAAGACAAAATGAACATACAGAAATAAATGTAACAGTTTAGTGTGTGACGTAACATCTATACTCAATGTCCTCGGGCCTCTACCCTATCGATTAAAAAGACATGTCCATCCATATATTTACAACATAAAATTTATTTATTTAAGAACAATTATGAAACAAGTATTTTATCTTATGTTAATCACACTTGTTGATCCGTAAATTAGCGCGCGGACAGTTTTAAAGTGGGAGGATCCCGGAGATCCCGGAGAAAACCAGTGACGTGGTCGGGCAGGTGACCACATGCCTTTTCATGTCCGATCGGGAAATCGAACCCCGGCCGCCTTGATGACAAAAGACGAGTGTGCTGTCCATTAAGCCATACATTCATATACTTATGCCACGATTCATATACAGTAATCCTTAGATCATCACAAATCTGATCGCTTTGGTTTCTTCTTATGGTCACCAATCACATTTTAATTATATCAGTTCCAGGTAGTCGTTTCTACCTTCATCAGGTGGGAGGTTAAATCTGGTTTGACTGCCGTCAGATGTCGCTGGGGAGACAGGTGGCGCTGTAGGCGTCAATGGGGGTGACCGTAGGGGTAACACAGGCGGACTCATTTTTCCGACTAGAGAATAAACAATTTCGTCTGCACTGTTCAGGCTAACGTCATCTGAAGACATCGACTGTCTGAATGCCTTTTCGACAAAGTATAACTCATTTTGTTGGTGTTTTATTTGTTTTCTCATGTTATACCACGAGTGGGCCAGCATGCAGCACACTGCAAATGCCAGAAGAAATGCACAACCCAGAGAGATAGCAAACGGGAAGCTCCTTTCACTGGACACATCGTTTTTATTCCGCGTGTGATGTTGCGACGATGTTAGATTTCCTGTTAAGCTTGCAATGTCTGACGAATTCTTTAAAATCACATTGTCGGCAGAACCTGAATGTGTTTTTACGTCAGATGCCGTGTTCAATTTGCTTACCGGTGAAGATCTACGTGTACTTGTTAAGAACAAGTTTTGACCATCATTTATATTGTTTTTATTATCCGCACTACTATGTAACTGCGCATGCTCGTTGACGTCGTCAGAGATTGCTGAAGACAACGTAGATTTTGGGTTGAATGCTTTGGTTGTACTGACATAAGTTCGTAGAGTTGTCTCAGAACGAGAACTTCCGGTCCGTACTGCTTCTATGTAAGAAGTTGTCCCAACGCCAGTCGTGGGGATAGGGGTCTCTGTAGGATTATTGAAAGGTAGATATAATAAACTGTTTACGGTCAAGATAAACTAAATGTCAGATGTAGTCAGACGAAATAAACAAATAATATTAAATATTATAGTCTGTTTTACATTAGAAACATTTCATCTGTAATCACGTCGACTTTTGTAAACTTTCTGATATTTGACAACTAATTTTTTAACTGTCTACAATAAGTTATATAACGTAATCTTGGAATGAGGAATGTTTTTTTTTGTTTAAACCTCTAGTATGAACAGATTACAAGTGAGAGAGGTTATTGAGTTAAACGAATGTACCTGTTCAGTATTTATAGGGTGAGATTTGCAAAAGTTCCATAAATATATTTAAAATCATACTCAATAACAGTCTAAAATTGCATACCATTATATACGTTAACAATATATTTTTAAATAGTGTTGGTTGTATATTTATCCACAAAGGTATTTTATTTGTATTTTGTAATACTGTCAATTTTCGATACCCCCTTCTTGATAATGATATTGACTGAATTGAAATGTAAGTGTTACCTGTATCTTCACAAGGACAGATGAAACATCCTCTCATGTTTACCGTCAACGTGCAGCTGCAACCTGGAGTCATGCCTGTCAATGATATTACGTCACATGGTTGCCACAATTACAGTGAGCCAAAGACTGGACACCAACAATATAATAACTGTCTGTCAGAAGATGATATATAAGGATTAAAAAAGCCGTTTATTTAGTCATTATTGACATTAATATAGGAATTCCCATATATTTTCGACTTTGAAGTGTCTGTGCAAACGAAATTACGTGACCAGTCTAACGTCACCAAAATGTTTGATTCCAATGGTTGTCTCATGTTAATGGAGATGGGAGGAAAAGCTTCAAAGTGACGCTGACCCAATTGCGTTCATAGCTTTATGAACGCAATTTCTCCTGGTAACGGTAATGGAGGAACTTGCAACGGAAATTTAAATATAAAAAAAACATATAAATTTTAACTATGATATATTTTCCAAATTACAAACAATATACTTACGGTCTGACAGAAGATGATAAAATCAGAAAATAAGAATAAATAATACCTATGATACATCTTCCAACATCCAGGTGAATGAACAAATCTAATGACTGATGATTTAAAACAAATCAGTATAAAACAATTTAAAGAAAGTTTATTGTTGGGTTGTACAATGTATTTCCGAAGCTGCCACGGACACAAAACGGTCATATATACACGTCTTATAACTGCCTATGGAATTTTATCAAAACTTACGTTTCATATAACAGCACGTTATAATTTTTGGATAAAGACAAATCTTAAAAATGAATCAAAATAATGAAGACATTGTGTATAAGTGATATTATTTCTATTCAATACGAGCGAGAAATATGTATCATGAGAAAATTGATGACGTCATCGTCAATATCTTAACAGCTTTGGCATAATTTAGTAACATTAACTTTAACTGAGTATAGCTACTGGTCGACGCATCGACTCCTATAATTGTACCACGAGAAAAAAAAGACGATGTAGGGTTAAGTCCTTCCCATTTTTGGTCCCATGGAAAAATCGAACTTACGCTTATTCAAATAAACGTAGGTGTAGTTTCGACTTCCCTCAGAGACCGGGGATGAGGCATACCTTGTAGAGCGAACATGCTTTTCATAACTGATATGTCTTAAATTCTCTTGAATCCTGTTATTGTCATTTTTTTTCATTTCATTAAGACGCTTTGATAGCGTAAATTCATTATTCATAATAACTTGATCAATATCTTTATGTGTCTTTACCCATAAAAGGCTGGATTGGATTCATTGAATTCTGAACAGGACTGATTCCGAATCGAACTGAACTTGAATGTGCCTTGCTTATTAACATTCCCTGTAAAGGGGGATAATTCGGTCCATATCCGGTCATGGACGCCATGTTTCCTCTGGGGTTGTATGCAGACATTCCGCCTAGGCTGTTTCCTGTGTTTCCCATCAGGTTTTTAAACGGGTTACCGTTCTGTGGCATCAGACCACTCGGCGAAATGTCTACAATGACGAAGTCAGTATTGATTTCAATCTTATTTTAAAGCATAACAGATTATCTGCAGTATTTGTACTATTTTTACGACTACCAAAATGTCAATCCCGGTATTTACACAAATTTATAAAAAAAAAAATCCAAATTTCATTGTGTGTTTTATGACAAGGTCTGTGATTGGTTAATAGTAGCATATTTGACCTATAACGCAGCGGTGAATATTAGTATAAATGGCAGTTTTTTATTGGAATACTTTTAGGATTTTCAAATCCTCCACGTTTTAATGGACCATTGTCGTTCGAGTTGTCTCCCGTCGCATATACCAAACTCAACATGAAAAAAGTTGAGACCTTTTCTGTTTATCGATGTTTTTTACTATTATCTCTATCCTATTGTTTATAATTGTTATAAAAACAGTGTAAAATATAATAGACTTGATCATTTCTACAACAGTGACACGTTATATCAACCTGACAAAGCTCAAACTGACAAGGTATTTTGATGTTTCATATGGGAAAATGTTCACGTTAATTAGTTTGGAGATCCCCGAGATGACGTTGCGATGTACACGAAGCATATGATTAGAAGAAAAAAGTGTGTAATTTAAATAATGCTTTTAGTTCTCCTTCCAACTAGTAGTAATTTTGAATTTGATAGATTGAACGTGGAGATTTATCCATTGTTCATGCAAGTACATGTATGCATGGGACGGCCGCTTATGCAGTGGATAAGTAAATGTTCCTCTGTTACTTCTTTCTTGACCATTGGAAATGTCTAGATTAAATCCTAGTATGAAGACGTAACGTTTTTATAGTTATCATGCCAAAGTAGCATGCCTCTATTTCTTTTCGTAGTGTCTCGTTCCTTTTGTAAAATATTTCCAAAATATTATATTTTACACCTGTAGTTTTGATTTTGTTTTTGTTATTAGTTGTATACAAATGACTTTAGAAAAACAGACACCCTACCTTGACAACTCGTGATCTTGATGCGCACCAGGAAAAGTAAACAGCAAACAATCATTTTTCGTATTCTCAACAACCGTGTAGGTAACATTATCCCTGCAGTTGTCACAACAAATAATAATAAAATTGAAAATAATAACACAAGGTGGTGAATTTCCAAACGACAGATGTTTGTCGATCTTGACCTGTCCTTATGTCGTACTCCAGGTACTCATCGGAGCGATACATAATCTAAGGTTAAAGGTCAAAACTGTCTGCGAGCAGGTGTGGACAGCGGTTACTCCGCTATTAAAAGAGATAATGCATGCCACTATGGGACAGTTTATACTTCGTAGGTTATTCTTCTTAATATTTCAATAACAGTAACAGGTGGAAAATTTACTTCTTTTAGTTCTACTGTGATGCTACATAGCTATATTTCGTTGCACCGTTGTATAATTATCTCATCTCTATTCCGTGAACTGTATGACCTTTTTGTTAAGATTGGTTGTAAATGCCTCATAAATAAACAAATAAATGCACAAAACTAACACATTCTCTTTACATTCCCGCCGCCATGACAAAAGTACCGAAAGAATAGGAGAATTCCATAAAAGGGGCATAACTCCTCTGGCCTTACCTCACTCAGGCTGACTGCAGTTACATTCTCTTTACATGCAGTTATCTATCACAGTAAACGAAATATCAAAGTCTGATATCTAAAGTGAAACTTGCAGTATGAAACGGAGAATTTAATTACTGATTGTGGTAGAATTATGTTTATATACTGTATACGTGTTAGGACAGACTCAACAATCGAGGAGCACCGATCTTCTTCAGGGACATGAACATTTAAACAACTGGTCTATTGTATCTAATGTAGCGATCATCAGGAGACACTAATATGGGACACGCTACACAATGGCTGGAATGTTGTGTTTTTTCCATGGGTGCACCGACGAAATAAAATTTGATCTTCTGACACCAAAGCTACACTGAGCTCCAATATACATTCGTAGTACTCTTCCATACGTGTCATTTTTCTGGTATCTCTATTAACGTAATGTTAGACACTCATTACAATAATGTGACTAGGAGGAGTTTATGCTTGGCCAAGTCATTGTATCGCAGGGAAACGGCACTTATATTGACATTACGTAAAATAATCTGTTGTAGGTGTTTAAATGACCTTAGATATTCAATGACAACGAGAACCGTAACTGTTGTACATTAAACTTCCATCTTCGAACCTTTATTGAATTTCATGTGTGGAACATTCTACGCCCATGATCGATTTTTTTTATTTCAAGAAATATAAGTATGTTTATGTATTTATGTAAGTTATTTGTGTGGTTTTGTTTCGGAAATAAACGTAAATATGCAATAAGATAAAATTTGGTGTGTCAACAACACTGAATCACGTTTTTCCCAGTATGATATACTGTAAAACATCTAAAACAAGTCTACTCTTGCAAGACTTAGTACCTTTACATGTAATCGTGGAAGTCATGTTGGAAAATGTGAAAAAGGATAGATATTCCGAAACAGACATTGATGCATACAAGTTATAGAAAATAATTATAAGGGGGAAAACCTGCAGCCTTTGATATCGGTTTTGTCTTCTGATGTTAAGCAAACAAACTAAATAATGATTATATGATCTTATTTGAAATTAAAAACTTCGACGATGAAGTTACATTTCAGAACGAAATGAAGGAACAAAATTAATGGTAAAATCACATATAACTAACATTATATTAATTGCAAAGGAAGTCACTGTCATTAACAGTGTCTTGTCTGTTCATCAGTCTTACGTGAAACTCAAATTGAACAATAAAAAGGTATTTACTATGATAAATGAATGTCAATAAACAAATGTCAATATAACGTCATGATATTTTAAAATTTTAACAACTAGCCTCAGGCACACGTACATACACACATAACATAAACGGACGCAGTTCCTTGAGTTATATTAGCTGTCAATAGAACAGTTTGGTTTCGGTTTTATAAGGTTTATTTAAGGACGTGCCTCCATGCGTATTGTATATGCATGTATATGTGTATGTGTGCTGGAGGAGGACTTGTTAGTGTACTTGCCTCCTTGTGATAGCGTGGATCAGATGCCGACTTTATAGTGCTGCCTCACTGAATATCATGCCGAAGCGGTTTAATGGATCTCTTGGGTCAGAGAGGTGGGGCCCAAATGTGGCGACATAAATGTTTTAAAATCCTTCTCTTTCAGTAAGGTTGGAGAGAATTTTAACCAATATTTTCGAGAGCATCCTTGGCAACGGCTCTCATTTTGTTTAAACGGAGGCTGTGAAATCATTAAAGTCCTTAATCTTGGCAAAGATGACTCAATTACGTTTAAACGAAAATTCCCCATTGGTGAATGAAGCAATATTTTAAAGGGACAATTTAGTGAAATATTTTTCTACAATCTTGTCTCAACCTCTGCATGATAATCTAGTTTGATACTTCTTATGAACAGTTCATGTCGGGAAATTCACAACACAGTGTTTTCTTAGTGTTTGTTATTAGAACATGTAATGAAGAAATCCTTAACTGTACATCCGTACTTTCTAGCTAACAAAAATGTCTTTTATGCCGAGGAGAAAAGGAAAATTCTATTTTTTTCACCTAGCCTCTTTAGAATACAAGTACATGCGTTTATTCTGAATCATAAGCATCTTCAAAAAACATCTCAAACATCGTTATAAATGAGTAATCTTTATTACGTTAAAACCTATTGATATCGTACTTCGTGTGGTTTGAAATTCTCCCTGCTGCGTTACCCTCTCAGAGCGTGCATGCCCTAATTGAACCTGTTCGTTTTAGTTCAAATATCTTATTAGAGATATACATTGTGACACTGACAATTTTTGCTTGTTTAAATTAAAAATGGCGTTATGTGTTAACTATGACTCATAACTGGCACTGTGTTGTTTTAATTCTCGCTGAAAGGCCCGGATATTGCGCTATTTCGGTCGTAGCCCTACCAAAAGATGAAAACTGACCACAATTGACGTTGGTTTCAGTTCATGTCATTATCAACTATGTAAACTTTCGTAAGAAGATATTTATATTTCCAGTACCGACTCGATTTTCAGGTTGGCATTTGACTAAATAGCCCATTTAATAATTAAAGTCCTTCTCTATCCATACAAATCATGGGATTTAAACTAAACTAGTGAAGAACATCCTTAGGCAAATTGGAATCCATTTTGGGTAAATAGTGCGTATGTCACCATGAGCAGGGACAAATAAGGAAAATTGAGGTTAATCTTAAAAATCAAATCCACTGCATGGGGCCAGAAAGATGGCACCCAATGAGGGTCATACATGTATTACCGGGAGACAATGCTTGGAAATAGTTGCAATATTATATAAGATGTTAATATACAGGGCCTCCTCTTTTCTCACATTGATTTTCGGCAACCCGATCAGTTGTTATGGTAATACATGCCCAATCTGTAACGCACTTTCATCAAGTCTTTAAATTATTATAGATAGTTAAAACCAAACTCCTTTAAACACTATTTCCTAAATTAATAATGAATAATTATACATTCATGTTCGCTCTTAATAGTCTTTTGAATATCATTTTGTCTTTATTCACGCTATCCCTCGTAAGGGTCATAGTAGAGACCGTGTTCTGTGTATCATTAAGTATTCCCTGAAGACAAGGATTGGGATTTACATACTGTGTCATTCTATCAGGTTGCCGCAAATCATATGAGGAAGATCTAGTTTGTAGTAAAATTAAGCATGAAGCAATAGATAAGCTTGTCACACCCAAGTTATATTCAGAATTATGAAGAAACACTACCACAAAAGTATTTGAAATAGATGAACTTTATTTATAGAATAACGAAGGACAATTCACACACTTCAAATCAATCCGTTAGAATCCCCACGCAAATCGATTCATCCGATGATTATAACAGTACTTAGTGGCACCTTACATGTACCAATACAGTAATAGCGCATTCTGTCAGTCGTACATGCTGTATTTAGCACCGAACGTTGATGATATCAAATTGGGTTATTATAGAAGTCGATTCGATGAAAATTGTTTAAGAAATTATCAACGTATGTGCGTGTATCAGGGTGGAATATATAACTACGGTTAGAAAATGTTTGACAATATGAGTTGGGTAATTTTCCAACTTTCGAATCCCGAGTTAAAGTTTCCGCCATAATATACAAATATATGTTGATTATATCTATTCTACCAAGTGAAATGTAACAAAAGTCTGTTCATGTCTATCTCGTTGTCCATACACATTTTACAAGCTAGGTGACCTAGATAATTGCAATAAGCCTGTTCTTTAGCGTGCGTTCACAATTTTTCAAGTGCTGCCGCTATGTCATAATTTCACTGCGTGTGTTTTGTCATTTCTGACCCAGTGGACAGTTGCCCGATTTCGTCTATCTAACCTTGAAATATTTGAAAAGGATTTGCTTTTATTATCAATTGCCATTCGGTCGACAGACGACAAACAATAAACACTGACGTCATGCTTTATTCCAGATGTTTGTTGTAATCAATCAAATCAACCAATATATCGTCATCGCTCGATAACGCATGAAATCAACATTTGAAAGATTTACAAACACTATTTCAATTCCCCTTCGCGGTAAGTTCAGCAGAATATTCAGACCGTGAGTGGGACAGGTTTTAAGTAGATCTAAAGGTAAAATAGAAGTCTGTTTGTCCACTAGCAAATATCCAAATGCATACAAAATGAAATGCGAATATCCTCATTTTTAAAATTAAGCCAATCCAGTGACATGATTGTTTACCGGTACATTTGCGGGGGAGGTTTTCGGAAGCGCGTTGGTCTGTTGGAAAACAATCAACGTTCGCTCATGGTTTTTCTTCCGTAAATATCCATGGTTATTAACCAATGAAAAGTGTTGTAACATCGCACACGTGGTAGAATTAAATTTAATTAACAAAACACCATGATTGTTTTTATTAGTGTATGTTGAGTTATTAGTAGGTCAAAATAACAAATTATCACAACTTATCGCCTTTCACGATATAAATTTTGTTCTCCAGGTTATTCAGGGATAGGAAGCATTTTTTTGTTTCGATTGAGATCCATCTAATATTCCACAGCTGGAGTTTTAGTCGTCTTCCAGTTCCAATGTCAAAGCAGGATACGGCTTTGACTGCGACCGAAAAAAAGGCAAAGCAGCCTGTCCACCTAAATCAAAAGTTGTATCTATTAGACAGTTGCCTCTTTATTTGAACAACTGTATTCGATGAATAATTTTTATTTAAAATTTCAAGAATCTATCTGACCTTATAAAAATATATATTGTTCCGATATTTAATTAATTTAATGAAGAAAATTGATTACGAAATCTTACCTTGACTGATGTAATAGCTGCAAAGCAAAAAATGTTGTTTACATATCGGCATCATCAAGTTATAATATGTAAAATATTTTTTTGTAATTCCTAATGTACCGATAATGGATACGTTTCTTGTTTAAATAATAATTAATGCTGAATATCTTAAAAAAGATATAGGAACCAAAACCAGATATTTCTTTCTTTTTAAGCCTTACATTATACATACCTCGTTAACTCTCTACCGCATGTTGAGATGAAATGCTTTCGCAGTTCGCTGAAAAATTGAGAAAAAAATCTTTGATTGTAACGTCAAAAAACAGCTAAGGTAATACTAGTATACGGACGTGACTCATGTATGTCTTTGAAGTGTGTTGAAGTACCGGGAGCAGGGTATTTGCCGCATTGCAATAGCGCTGATCTGATGTCGACTTTATAGAGCTACCTCATTGGTATACCATGCCGAAGGCACTCGGCACAACAAAACATAAGCAAATTTCTGTACATCTTAAATTATATTTATCAAAATAAATATGTTGCACATATTGCAATATTTAGGATCTTTGTTGTTCTCTCTACTTCTATCTTTCTTTTATTTCCCAGCGCATTGGTTGCCAGTTCCTTCTCTTTTAGATTAAGTGTTGAGCCCAGCTAAGAAAGGCAAAGAGTTCTGTCCAATAGGCCAGGACGTACCAAAGGCCTTGATAATGGTAGTTGTTATTCCCTTTGTTATAGTAATGGAAACAACTGGCTCGTCTGTTGTCAGTATAATGTGAGCGGGCGGAGTACATTGCTGGGTGCCTTCGACATACTTTACCAGCACCCATGCACGTGTACACATGACCTTAGCTGTTGATAGGACGATAAACCCTCAAACTTTACAAGTGGAGCAATTTTTACAAACTTGGTGTAAAGAATTTCTGCGAAAAACTCAACTCAATTTTGTATAAACGTAGAATGTGCCCCAACCCCTACCCCACATCCAACGGGGAATAGGGGCAGACCCATTTGGAGGAATGTTAGGATATTTTGATGTTTAAAACGCTTCCTTGTCTTTACAAATTGAGGGATTTAAACCAAATTTGGGGACATATGTTGGTGAGGGACAGATTCAATATTTAAAAAAAAATAAAAAAAAGTTGCAGTATTATGTTAATGGGAATAATTTCCAATGGTTGCATAATTATCTAGTTGAGCGATACAGTCCCTCTGGGTACCCCTGCAGGTCGGGGATTGAGATCTTATACTTATTGCATATAAAGGGTGTCATGCAATAGCCAAGTTTGAGATGTGTCCAGAAGTCATAACTCAATATCAAACAAAAGGAAAGTATGTAGTCAATATGCAATTTATGTAAGTCTACTTAAATGAGTGAAGTTGTAAATTTCAAGTCAAAACATTAACTAGAAAGGAAATTGTTGAGAAAACAAATTACTTTTCAGTTGAAAATGACCGAAAAGACCCCCCTGACTTAATCCTTCGTTTTATATAAACAATCTTTAAGTGACGATTAAATTTCCATCATTTTTCATTCTGTTACATATGCTTGTCTAATTTATACATGTTTTCAAAAGCAGAAATGGTATTATTTTGGTTTTAAACTCATTTTGAAAACAGCAAATTATATTTGGTATTTACCCTACCACTTTTGGTAACCCCAGAAATCAACTTCGGTCAAAGTTTTACCTTAGTTTTTCCGCAT